CAGAAGAAGCAGCAGTAAAAGTCTTTGGCCACTACAGGGATCTTTAACTGGCCTCACCTGCGATTGATGAAGAGCCATTGCAAATGACCAAAGTAAAAAACTGGATTCATTGCCCTGAACATGACTATTTATAGAAATAATTGAAAATGTTTCGAATAGACATCGTATAACTTCAATGACAAGTGTGTTCTCATGCTAGCACTGAGACGAAAATTCCATGCTGAACGACCGATACGCAATAAAAATATGTGTGGATCGAATACCGTGAGCAGGGTCAAGCGTGCGTTAAGGTTTTGTTTATTGATGATCTTATTGATCCTCAACAGGTGGACATGGGGGGTCATGTAGCGACCGGAGGAAGGAGTTGGGCCGGATCGCTGCAGTAGGATCATCAGTGTTGGAGGACAAACATAAAGGATCAAATTGGTGCTGTGCAAGCTTCACTGTCATTCCGCTCACATAAAAGTTTGATGCTTTGATGGGGTCGGCATAGTAATTCTAGCTACCTTAGTGATTCATTACGACGAAGGGTTCAAAAATCCTGTATCGCCAGGTTTCACCAGATATTTCATCCTTCAAATGAGCCCTCCAATATGAAAGGATGTGAAGCACACGGCGCCTCCCAGTGGGTCCAGTCAGACGCGCGCAGTTCTAATACAACTCTCGTGAAGAAAAATCTTTACTCGGGAAAATTAGGTGGATTCTGAAAGGGCCGCGAAATTGTAGGGTCCAGTCTTCAAATTGTAAGCATGTGATCAGTTTAATGATGAGATCGCCAGAACATTTGCTATAGACATATACATATAGAAGAGAAAGGCACGTGGATTCGATTTTGCTCCCGTTTTTCACACAATCATTCTTTGGAAGTAGCTATAGTCGTTGAAAGAGTGTCAATGCAACGAAAAAGTACCTTTCGGCGGTACTCGGGCAAAAATCCTTAACGCTGTCATTTTTCGAGTGATGACATATTAGCTTTTCAGATTGGATGGTTTTGAACGGAGTTATGGGTCTGGAAAGTGAAAAAAAACTCGCTCTCATCACGGATTTTTCTCATTAATTTTGCAAAAAATCCTGAACGAATCCATTTTTTAAACATTGGACGTAGTTAGCTGTTTAAGTAATCGGTTAATAGAGCAGATCTTTAGTTTTGTCCGCTATGGTAACGTTTCATATTTGATGAAAATGAAGTTATTGAGTACTGTTCAGGAAGAGCTTTTTATAAAACTACCGAATCTGCTTTTAGATCAAAAATTCGTTCAATTTCAGGAAAGTTACAATCATTTGAATCAATCAATCATTATGTGTCCAAATTTCAGTAGTAGATATGCTGCTCCAAGGTCAACGCAAGGTCAATCAACATACAGCTGGCCAAGGCATTATAAAACTTCTACTATATTTAAACCAGAGGAAATCATGTAGGTTGAGGAGCATGCTATGTGTAGCACTAAATAAGACTCACAAGGAAAGGCTCTCAGGTCGCCATGGCCATTCAAGAAGAGATGTATACCGCTAGATGTGCCTTTGAACGCTGATCTCAAATCTACCTTCCAAATCTGCTAAACGATTCTCTGAATGGAGTTATGAAGCAAAACAGCGCAACGGCAGTGGTCGGGATTTGCAGTCAAAACGTCGTAGGATCGGCCCCTGATCGTGTCTACTGTTTGCCTTCTTCAGTAATACGGCTAAAAGGCTTCAAGTAGCCATTTAGCCTAATTCCTGAAGAACGCAAGACAGTAAACGCGATCGGGGATCAGGGGCCGATCCTACGACGTTTTAACTGCGACCACTGCCGTTGCGCTGTTTTGCTACATAACCCCTTCAGGAAATCGTTTAGCAGATTTAGAAGGTAGATTTGAGATCAGCGTACAAAAACAAGCACATGTAACGGTATACATAATTTCTTGAATGGCCATGGCGACTTGAGAGCCTTTCCTTGTTAGTAATTCTTCCAAAGGAAATCGATAAAGAAAAGATACTGTCATAGTATCGAATTTTTAGTGACTGGCTGGTCTTTTTTTGCTCGGTTTGTTAGTAGGATTCATTATCATTGATTTTTTCTTCACTCCTAGCACTTGTTGAATGACTTTGTTGGACGATGGCTAAAGTAGGTGTCGGAGTCTCATCATCCGAAAAAAAGAGATTTCCGTTGACGACAAGTTCGTAGCCCGCCTTTCCGCTCTAAAACTAGGGTGCAAAGAATGAATGGAAGCTGTAGGTGACATTATCGAAAAATGCGAAACAACAACCCCGAGCAAGGATGTGGCTATATTTAGGGGAAGGGGTCTCGGGACGTGCGAACCATGGGTAAGCCACCCATCAAATAGTAAACTTATGTAAATTAAGACAAAATGTATGTAAAATTTATTGTAGGTTTGTCAAAAATCCAGCCGTCCAGGTCCTGGGAAGATATGTTATTCCACATTGCTGAGAGTATATATGGGTATATTAAGATTGCTAGAAACATT